AACACCACCTTCAGCACAGGAAGCTCTAGAGTGGAAACTAGAAGCTGGGAGATTTGCCTTGGGCATCTGTTTTCTCAGGCTGTTGGAAGAGGGCACTGGGCTAACTGGACTCGGTACCGCCGTCTTATATTTCCTTACGAGCCTATTTTTTTATATCTAAAAGAAGTTAATAGAAGTATCCTAGAACAAGCAGATTTTTTTATATCTAAAAGAAGTTAATAGAACAAGCAATTTTACTGTAACACGATAAACATTCCAGCACATAAGAGAATCCAGAAAATAAGCCATAACTTTATATAGTGGAAGGCAATAATGAAAAGGAAGCACGAATTGCTTATTACCTCTGGTGGCACAGAAGTTTGAAACAGCCACTTTGCTGCTTTGAGGTCATTTATAAATTTAAGAAATCACTCAATATTTCAGGCATCAGACTGAGTATATATCTTCTTACATATAAAATATTGTTTCCTTCATTGCTGAGCCAAATCTCTTTTCATACCTATGATCAATACCAGGCACTCATTTTATTACATTTATACCATACATTGTGGAATTTCAGCTAGAGAGAAGTTCCATAAATCCTGATAAACTCCTCCATTGTTCAAAAGCAAATCTGCAGGATGAATAAAGCATAAAGAGTGAGATACTCACTCACCAATGGCTTTTTGGTAACTGTTCTGCTGTCAGAGTTGATGCCAGTTTGAGTACTGATTGGCATTACGGCAGTGTAAAATATGCCACAGGGTTTTGTTGAAAAAGCCACACAAAATATGTCGTGGTCAGTTATAAATAAAACCTCATCTTCCCCTCATGTTCACAGTCCACACCAGACTGGCTTGGAGCTTTCATACGTTCTGCTACACCATGGAACTTTGGATGCAAAAATGCAGTCAGGAAGAGAATGAAGTCAGTGACAAATTTGACTCAAAGATCTGAAAATAAAAGCTCAGAATTCTGCTCTAGTTAATGGCAAAGTAAAGAGCAGTGTTTGTGTTAGCAGGCACTGATTACTAGAATTTCCCACATGTGTGTGCTTTGTTCAGGAAAAGGAAATCTATAGATGTCCTTGTGGCACAGAAAATCCATTATTGGCCATTTATGCAAAAAACCCTTCCATGGATCAGAGTATTTGGCCCACAATTTGCCAGTTCACTGAAAGTAGCTAGCATCTAATGGGAATTTGGTGACAACAGCAACTTTGAAATCTACCAGTGACATACAGGCATCCCTATTTTGGTAAGAACACAGGGTTTGAAGTCAGTGTGTTATTCTGCCAGCCCTTTGGACAGCAGTTATAAGTGGAACATAAAGCACTTCAAAGTCTAAAATCATCAAAAATACTGGGAGAGACAGAAATTAGCTTTGGTGTTTAGTATTTCCTCTTTTCCTCTTATAATTCCAATATTTGCTGCTTTTGAACAGGATGTTCAAAATGATCAAGAATCTTCAAAAAGACTGACATTAGAGAGGGATATTCTGTATACACCATGTCACCACATATATTACATAACATACACAAGTATTTGTAATGTATAAAAAATTCACATGCAAACTCACTGGATGATATTTTTCTCCCAATGTGAAATTAATGAGCAGGTTCTCATTAAATCCCATAGAGCCAGGACCTTACTCTCTCTTTCCAGACACTGGTGACAGAGAAATAAGCCAGCAGGCAGAGAAAGAGGCTTGGAAGTTTCTGGCAGATGTCAATGGATTCACTAAATCACTGTAATATCTACACTATGTAATGGAGTGAAATTGCCCTGCTGTGGGGCAGTAGCCCAGCTGCATTATTTCTAGGGCTTGAGTTGGTCACCTCCATTCAGAGCTACAATGCTGAATGTATAAATCAGTTCCCTCTGAGACACACGGCTGGTTTTGCTGCATGACTTCATGTAGCATAGGCATGTCTGAAGGAAACACATCCTTCTTTTTCTGCTTCTTCCAAAAAAAAAAAAAATGAAGCACAGAATTTGCAGCATTAATCGCACTGTCAGAGATTATGATATTGCCGTTCTTTTGTTTGCTGCAGCAGAAAAAGGGACCGTGGTTTGAATCACATGCAAAAATTTCTGAACTGTCTTTTGGAAAGTACATGAAAAAGACAAAGTGTGCTAACAGGGGGGAACTCGCCATCCTTTACATCCACAACTACACACAAAGGAAAAATAAAATGCACAATAACGTTCCTGAAGAGTTTGAAGGATGCTCTTCTGAACAATGAAATACACATTTAGGAAGCTGGCTGCATAAATTGCTATCTCTAAATATATATAACTTTCCATGGGGAATACTGAGGCAAACGAGGGCGGCAAGAAAAAAAAAAAAAACAATTTATGCAGCCAGCTTCCTAAATGTGTATCTCTAAATATATATAACTTTCCATAGGGAATACTGAGGCAAACAAGCGCGGTGAGAAAAAAAAAAACAACTTCCCAACCAGTCCTTATGATGCTACACCTTGAAATTTCACACTCAATTCAAAAGACACCCTAGATCTTAATGGTTAAAACTTCCAGCAAACAAAATTTATTTTATTATATTTTCCAAGGAAGGAATAGCAAAAGCTACAGGATGATCCGAGAGCAATGTCACCTGTAAATGCATAAAGGCAAACAAGTAACAGATGTACTGGAAATTCAGCCCAGTTAACAAAAAATAAAATAAATCTTGATGGGAACAATGAATAATTCACAGGCCACAGCACTACAGTGACCATAGGCAGGTCTGTGCAGAGAGTAGGCTGCACTGTACAAATAATTTACAACTCAGAAAAGTGCAGGCTGCATAACACAACTGCTGATTACAAGCAATCTCATCAAGCCAAGTCAGCAGCTCCACAAACATCAATGCACTCCAGGCACTGCCACAGCAATGACTTCAAATGGAGCTATAACCTGATGCCTGATATAATCCTGGACACGTAGTTCTAGAGGAGCCAACTCTTCATTACCTTTTGCAATGTTTCCTTGAGATAAATTCTGATCTTGACAGTCTGCTGCCAGCCTACTGAAAGAGGAAAAATCCCCAAACAGTGCTACACAGCTAAATTGTTCTGAAGGTGAGATAGGGTAAAGCACACACGCAAGGAAGATGTTACAATCTTATCTGAGGAACCTCTGATAGCCAATAATAACAAACAGTGCTTTAACAAAAAGACTTGTTACTGCCAAGAATAACAATAATTCTTTCACAAGGGACACTAAAAAAAACAGCTTTGCATTGCAATGCAGGGGGTAACTGAACATCAGTAGTAAGTTCAATTATTAGTAGGGGTACGTGTTTCCTGTGGTGTTTTGAATCAATATTGTGAAATTGAGAATGGATAATATTGTATCAGGAATTGCTCCTGTAAATTGCTTAATTTCAGAGACAGGCTATCAGGAAAGATGCTCACAGCAGACTTGACTTCATTCTACAGCTTTTCACAAACCAAGGGTCTGCAGTTACTCCTGAATAACACATGGCCACTCTGCTCTGCCAAAAGGACATTCTTTCTCTGCACAGATCCTCCTTCATTGTCCCTAACTCTGCTTGATCATCTGCAGTTGTGAACATCTGAGATACAAGTTCATGTTCAGCAAGAGCACAAGACAACTCCATAACATTGTTCAGCTGTAGCTGGAAAGAGCTATTTGCTAAATATTAATTTCCAAGGACCTTAAAAATCTAAAATGAAATTCCATCTTCTACATTTGGGTTTTCTGTAACATGCAGTGACAAATCATGTTCTGAGTCCAGGCTGGTATCTCAAAGGGTTGCGATACTCATCAATCCCCTTCTCTGGTTCCCAGTTATAGCTGAGATTTCTCACCTTCACTAAAAATTCAAACCCTGTCACTTCATATGCCAGTGCTTTGATAATGTGCTCAGCAAAGAAAAATCATACAAGGATGCTTCAAAGTCAGCCAAACTCTATGCAAGACTCCAGTTCACTTGAACTGGTTTTGAATTAAAACTGCAACCCGAATACTTGCACTGATGCAAGAATTGAATGTAAACGACAGCATCCCACTGTGAAAATATACAAGTACCTGTGAGGTGCCATTCTTCAATAGACTTACTCACAAAGTTAAAAAGCAAAAAAAAAAAACCGCAATAAAACCCGTTAGCTTGCTCTTTGTATGGATGTAGCCCAGTGGCTGCCCATCACTAAAGGGCAAAGCTCAATGTAGCATTGCTCATCCAAATAATTAAAAGTTAATTTACATTTTCCCCCTTTTTTCACTGGAATAGGCTGAAAGAAGTTTCACTTCTTAAGCTTAGCTCAGAAAAAATAAAAAAAAAAAGTGACTCCAGAGTAGTTCAAGTAAAGCAATTCCTTTGATAATAAAAACAACAATGTATTGCTCGTAGCATGTGATCTCCGTACTGGGAGAGGATTCTTCAAGGCAAGTTTCACCTACTGAGTATTTATTTTCCTTTAGATTAAAACATTGCATGTTCATAAAAGAAATAAGATTTATATACGGCATAACTGAGCTAAGGATGCAGATGGCTTAATGAATATTTCTGAATCACTTTTAATTACACCAGAGTACACAGCACTTGTGAAAGCAGCGTACATTGAACAGCACCACAAGTTTACTGACACATTCAAACATTAATCTTTCTTTTGAAGAGAAATTGATTTTTGTACAGGCTTATAAACCAGTCAAGTTTAAATTAATTTGTTTGAGAGCAGAAAGTGGGACTTATTTGGGACTTACAGGCTGCATGCCAAGACTTTATACAGAGATGAGTTTCCTTCATTTAGACTGGAAGAAGCAACATAATGAAAAGAAACAGGTAGATTATATCTGTTCATTCAGATATTTCATGTGCTTATTATGGTCTATACACCACTGAAAGATGGCTGCCATGCAGATACCTGCTAGCTGGGATTTGTTCATTTCCCATAGCAGTGACTCAATCAGATACATATTGCTTCTTTCTTACTGTTTTTGGATGCTGGTTCACAGACTGTTCTTTTATTTAATTGTCTTTTTGTTTTGTGTCAGGGTGAGTGTTCCCAGAAGTGCTATTACATCTTCGTCATAGAAACCATCTGTGTGGCTTGGTTTTCCCTGGAGTTCTGCCTCCGATTCATTCAGGCAAGGAGCAAGTGTCAGTTCTTCAAAGGACCCCTAAATATCATTGACTTCTTGGCTATTTCACCCTATTACATTTCCCTCATCTTCTCAGAGGAGGACTCAAACGAGGAGGACGACAGGCCAAGCAGCAACACTTACTTGGAGAAGGTTGGTTTGGTGCTACGGGTTTTACGTGCCTTGAGGATCTTGTATGTAATGCGCCTTGCCCGACATTCCTTGGGCTTGCAGACTTTGGGCCTCACAGTTCGGAGATGCACACGGGAATTTGGCCTCCTTTTACTCTTCTTATGTGTGGCTGTCACTCTGTTTTCTCCTTTGGTCTATCTCGCCGAGAATGAATCTGGGAAGGTGCTTGAATTTACAAGCATACCTGCTTCTTACTGGTGGGCTATCATTTCAATGACCACTGTGGGCTACGGAGACATGGTACCACGGAGCGTCCCAGGCCAGATGGTGGCTCTGAGCAGCATCCTCAGCGGGATTCTCATCATGTCTTTTCCTGCAACATCAATATTCCACACTTTCTCCCATTCCTACTCAGAGTTGAGAAAGGAGCATGAACGATTGCAGTCTCGGCTAAACAGAGTTAAAAATGCCAATCACTCTGGTGAAAGCGACACCTTCAATGAAACAGACAGCTTGATCCTGGAGAATCAAGCATCACCAATCAAATACATTTACACAGGGAACTAAACCTGGCTGTAAAACGTTCTCAAGAACCAGAATAGAAATATACACATATGTATGTCAACATAATACACAAAGCAAAGCAACAACATAGGTTACGATGCTATTTTTCTCTGCCAGCTTAGGAACAATAAGCAGCAAAGCCAACGCAGTCAGCTCCAACACATCCTTATGGAGCTGGAGGCTTTGAGAATGTCAAAAGTCAGAGTTTATTCAATAATAAATATTCATTATTCTCTACAACTAATAAGAATAAACTTTGTCTCTGCCAGTCCTATGTCTCGCTGAATACCTAATATTGAACGAGTAACAACCCAACCAGCTTCTGTTGGCACAAATACACTTGTTATTTTATTTGCCTTCGAGTTTCCAATGTTCTTGCAATTAACATCCTGAGCCAAGCATTAGAATGGATTCTTTCAGGGCTACGCACCGGTGTTGTTTATACAATGCTCATCCAGCAGGCATACAGAAGAAGCCTCAATACAAATCTGAATTCTGTATCTAAAGCCACTAATAAGCTTAAAATATAAGCATTGTATGTGAAAGCTTTACAAAGATTGCCTGTAGCCAGATGATCAATCTACAAATGACAAATTGCACTGTTATTGTATAAAATACCTAGTGTTTGCAAGAGAGTTTGCTTGAAATGCAGTTGCGTTCTGCAAACTGTAAACATTTCATACTAGAGAGCAAAAGTTTTCAAACTTCTTTTTCATATATTTAAAATAATAATGAGGAATAAAAAATCCCCAAGCTTATCGACCATATTAAAACGAGTTGGTGTTATCTTTTTTACTGAATGGTAATGGCTTCCCTCAAAGAAAGATAAGAAATAGTTATTGAAAATAAGATGAGAGCTCAGAAGTATCCAAACATATAAATAGTAAAGAACGAGGTGAATGACTGCCAGAGCAGCAGTAGCAGGCACTTCCTAATGGAAAATGTCCCTTTTGGGACAGTCCTCTTGATACCTACACAGTTGTGACTTGCTGAATGTTGGGTATGTATTTAAGTACTGAAGTGAATAAAGGCCTAAATTATTTTTTAATCAGATTTGCAGCTTTCACTATTCCATTTCTTAAATCCTACCAGGGGCTCCATGACCTTGTGATGAAGCACAGCTTCAGTTCCAGATTTCAGCAGGCACCATTCTTAGAGCCCTGGGAGCACTTCCAGGTGCTGTGACCCATCTCCCACGTGGACATACACACACAGTCCCTTGCAGAGTTACGCAACTTCATGCAGGTATTTGGGAGCTTCAGGGTTTAGATACTATCCTCACCGCGCTGCGTAGCTTAAGTACAGAAAAACACAGTTGTTGGCACAATTTGGATCATGTAACTCAAATTAATCTCTTGGATTTATCTTGCTACTGACCCTATGATTCAAACCAGAGAGACCATAGCATATTATAGATGGGATGTTCCAACACAATTGGAACAAGCTGACACCAGATGACAGGCATTTATATTTGCCACATAAAGGGTGGAACTTCTGCTGGTTTATGCATAGGTCCATCTGATTTTTTAATTTTTTTTCAATTAGCATTTCTTTTTTGCCAGTAATTCTTTAGAGTAGGACTACTTAGACAGAAAACCAGACAAAATCCAAGCCCAATCTAGACCATGACCCAACCTCTCCAGGCTCTGTGGTGTTGTAAAGCATCGGAACAGGCTGCCCAGGAAAGTGGTTGGGTCACCATCCCTGTAGGTATTTAAAAGACACATAGAAGTGGTGCTGAGGGACATGGTTTAGTGGTGGATTTGGCAGTGCTGGATTAACAGCTGGACTTCATAAACTTAAAGGTCCTTTTCCAACTTAAATGATTCTATGATTCTAACATGGTCCCACAGAAAAGCAGGCCAGCCATATTACTCCAAACATGTAGATAGCTGGAAAAATATCAGCTTTTACTGCTCAAGTACTTATAACAGCTTACTGTCCAACAGGTTCTGTGATGTAGGTGGGGTTGTGGACACAACATGCTTCCAAATTCACAGCAACCCAAACCTTGACTCAGTCAAGCACTTAAACTTGTGTAAATTCTTCCAAAACACAATGTAAGAATGTGCTAAAACATGGAGGTAAAACAAACAAACAAACCACCAGTGTTTAATAGGGAATTAAGTGCTTGTGCTTTCAGCAGAATCAGGACTACAGCATGCATTTCTGTTTCTAACTTAATCTCTTCCTATAGCTGGGTCTGGGCTGCACCAGCTTTCATAGAAAATGTCCTTCATGATTCATTGTGTTATTATGGAGGGAAAAAAATATGTTGAGAGGAACATCTAGTTCCTGTGTAACTCAACTGAGTAACAAATTCAGAACAAGCAGTTACAATTAGCAGATATTGTTGTTGCCAAGATCATATCATTTCATAACCAGACTTAATTAAAAGAGCAGTTTAGATGCCTGGCATCCAGCTTCTCCTAGTTCAAAGCCTTTCTCTGTATCTAAATCCTAGAATCATCGGAGGAACAGCACCCATTATACAGGGAAAACCATGTTGTTCAGCCCTCACCAACACATTACATCTCTTTTTAAGCTTCTAATTGCTACTCTGATAAAGCAACAACTCTACTGTGTAATGAAGGGACCCACAAAACTCCCCACCATTTTGTTTGGGAAGCTGATAGACACCCTTCTCTGCAAACCAGTTAGGGACACCAAAGTGACAGAATCACAAGAAAATGCAATACAGGACTCTTCCAATTATTGGTTTGACTTGGAACCAAAACACTGAGTGGGTTTTGATCACGGACTAAATGCAAATTTTCTATGATGTTGAAAGAGTACTGAGGGGCTAAGACCTTTGCTTTGACCTAACTCTCATTTCTTCAGGGATTCTGCAGGTTGTTTCAAATTCTCGCTGTAGCCCTCATGCCTCCTGGCTATTCTCCAGCTGCTTCTCCTCGTTGACTTTCATCAGTTCCGCGGGTAGAGAAGCATTGCATAAGATGGACAAATTATTATTTCAGTAATGAACTCCCATTAACTTCATGGGTTCAGTATTTTATTATTTCAACCTGCTGTTAGATCCCCTGAAACTTGCTTTTCATCTGCCTTTGGCAATCTGAAGGTTGCATCCAGCCACTACTACTCATAATATAATTAAAGTTACCACGTTATTATTTAAGTCACATAAATTCATTGGAGAAACTAGTACATTATTTTAGCAGTAAATTGCAAAGAATTCACTACGCGTACTGCAATATAAATTATAGATGAACTACCTAAAACTTATTGGTCAGTATTTTTATTTCATACATAACCAAAACAGTATTCTACAGTTATTTTGAGCAATTAAGCATATCTGCTGATATAAACTACACTCAACGTGCCTCCTCTGATTTTATTCCTAATGAAAGATTTTTTTCCAGAAAATTATTTTAATACATTGCAGTAATCTATAAATAACAATGAAAGCCCAGAAGGTCAAGGAAATGAGAAGTACAGCACGTTCCCTGAAGGAGTGTTAAAAAGTTTTTACTTCTATGAGTAATAAATTATTAGCCACATGTTAAAGTTAAACCTGATAAAAGGTTGATACAATACTCACATTTCCTAAATGGAATCTGATTTATGCATGGCAAAAAGCTACATATTCTAAGATATTTTTCTGAAAGTATTAAATTCCTTCCTGTGAACTATTTTCCTTCTGTAGCAAAGCTTATCTGAGCTATATGGGGCTTTCCCTGCTTTCCTGAGTCCTCACTGTGGCACAATATACGGCAAAGCCCTATGAAACATGACAAGGTTATGAATGTATCAGGCACTCAATATGCACTGGATTTTCTGCTGCCCTCTGATATGGGGTATTAAACCTGATTTTCCCAGCAGGCAAAGCACAGAGACTGAGCTGAATACTCCTCTCTCCTTACAGGACATCACCATTCACCTCAAGGCCTGCAAAACTCCCCAATCAGTTTGGGAAAAACCAACTGCTGCATATGGGGTACAGATCTTGTTAGGAACCTGAAGTTCTTGACTTGCTAGATTAGGATGAAACCTAATGCTCTACGTTACTCTAATTATTTTTTTCTGGATGACTAAAACGATACTCACGAAGAAAAGATGATTAAGAGAAAGAACTAAGGTGCTTCCCTTCCCCCTGTGCTCCTGCCTTCACTGTCTCACTTCCAATAGCTGATAGTTCTCAAAAGCTTGTCTTCCCCAAAGCTTAGTGTTTCAGTAGTTCCTTTATGCCAGTATCTGATCACCATGAAAGCATCTGTCCCAAAACTAATTCACTATAAGAAAGGTCTGTATTCAGAATAGTACCAAGGAAAGAGCTCATGTAAAAAAGGCAGGCTTGGATCATCAGCACCAAGTGTTTAAGGAGCACCTCAGCAGAATATTGCAGTAGATTCAGCAAGAGGGATAAAAATCCAGCTTGGATTTCATTATTTCCATACTTGATTCCTGCCATAACTGTACCAGCTGTAAAAATCATGCATATTTCTAAATTAAAAGGTCTGTAGGAAACCCTTTGGGTGCTTCTCTTCTGAAAGTTATGGTGTCTTATATCACCAGTAATAGGTCCCATAACTAAGTAATAAAACTTAATCATCCTGAAACAATACTTAAAATTTTAAAACTGAAATGAAAAGGTCTACTGCTTCATATCTGACAATTTTGTTTAAAAAAATCCTTTAGGATTTAATGCATTCACACAGAGCTCCATACATGCATATAGTAACGTCATAATATCTTCCAAAATTTCCCACTTGCTAGTTCTAGCATTCAGCCAAATATTAGTAAATTACTGACTATGAGTCAACAGCTTATATTTCAGCTTCTTCAAAATAATTTCTTTTCATCAGCTTTCAAGAAGGTCCACATCACCTCCCACACAGACAGGACACAGACCACGTACATTCCTAGTTCCACAGCTTCATTTGTTCTTGCCAGACCACTTTGGAATCTCACAACAAGAATTGTTCATTTCCTATACAAAAAGCCATCTCATTAAAGAATTTTCTTACTAAGATTCATAACCTTTAAGGTGCAGTGTGACAAATAATACAGATAACTGGATTGTACTCATGAATAGA